TGTGTAAAAACAGAAATAAATAAAGTAGTTACCTTGTAATTATTTCGCAACAGTTTTCCATATTTTAGTTTATTATCATGATTAATAGCAGCTATTATTATATACTTTGTCCTGTATGTCAGTCTTAAATACTTGTTATTGTTGTTTTTCTGGCATATTTTGTCTTATTGGTGGGATAATGTTGTATTTGTTTTATTATCCTTTTAAACTGCATTAATGACTTGCCTGACGGAATATAGAACCAGGGTCTGAGGTTATGAAAATATTTTCTATGCTCCAATTTAGATCTCCAGTATTTGATTGGTCAAAAACAAGCTCAGAATGTACACTGACCAATGAATATCCTGAGATTTGAGGCTGAACTCGTAAAATGTTTTATAACCCTAAGGAGGCTTACATGCTCACCTTCATAGATTTACCAGGCTCTATGCTGTCAGTTGATAAATTTTCATAAATTTGTATTTCAATGTAGAAATCCTGTAATCCTGATGTTGCAATTATTTTCCAAAAGCATTTGAAATTTACTACTAAATGTTCTTACTCTGCAACAACAGTAAGTAAATACAGTACATGCATTTGTTACTAACCTATAATATAGGACTGGCGTTAAGTTGTGTTACCTTGTGTTGCTTTTGTCATAAAATTATTATGAGTTTTGTCAAGAAATTTATGTTTCTGCTCCCACTTATGTGTATTTTGATGCTTTTAATATGAATTTTCTCAGTGTATGACAAATTATATCTGTATATAGTTACTTTATGTTTCTCTGTAGTTAATTAATGACTGCATTAATTCATAGTAGGTGTTTTACATTTACTAAAATAGGTATCGTAATAGCTGAATAATTTGATTATAATTTTTTTTATCTGTTCTGTTTTTAAATGCTGTTAATTGTCAGAAATATAACCTTGTGTTTTAAAATCCTCCCTTGTGCTTTACGTCATAAATGGAGATAATTTTGTGCAATTTTGATCACTGCGGTACTGCTTCTTTCTTCTTCGACCAAATGGGATATTTGCGATTAAAAAGTTTATAAAATGCAGGGAATTGGATAGAATGGGTCTATTTTTAGAGATAGGAGTGCCTGGGTAACCAACTGCTTTTATTTCCGCTTTTGCATGTTTAATTTCAAGAGTAGGGTTAAAGGTCATGGTAGCGAATCCATTTACAATGATTAACCGTTAAACATCTTAGATTATTTAAAGCAATATTGAATGAGGGGATCTACAATTGGAGACCATCTTCTATAATACAAAATCAATATTAGGATATGACAAGATTACTCTCGATTAGGCTTTATCTTACCGGATTTCCTGTGAACCACTAACACACTTTTCCGGTTCGTCGCAAGAGTGACGTAACTCAGCCGACTTTAATGATAACGTTTTTGGAGTTTTGCAGTAAAGCGGTTTTTTCTCTCACTGCAATGCTTTAAGTGGCTTTTCTTTTCCTATGCATTTGCATAAAAATATATGTCAATAAAATATGGAGGGAAAAAAAATGTCCCCATAGAAACTAAATGTATTTTGGGAAACATTGTAATACAACACAGGTGTTCTAATGCATTTTCATGCAAAGATTTTTTGTGAATGAAAACGTTTTATACTTTTGTTTGATGTCTTAAATAATTACTTAAAACTTAAAAAGGTACTATGTTTTTAAGGAGTTGGGGGGAGGGGGGGATGTCTTAATTTGTCACAGGTGAATTTATCCAGTTTGACAGTAAATTCAGTGAACTTGTAATAAAAAGGACCAAAAGATAACTAATATTGAATGAATTTATTTGAAAAAGAATTTGTAAAGCTCCTTTTAATTAACCTGCAGGTACAAATCTTGTTATCGTCAGAATAGAGCGTGCACACCTGTGCAGTCCTACTAGGCTGTGTATTGTTTGAATCTTAATTTTTGGTATTTAATACTGTGTTCCAAATTCAAAGCATGAGCAGATTAAGTCAGTGATGAGAATTGTTTTGCAAATCATTTGACTTGCAACTTAATGAGCTCAAATCCAACTCAGTACATTGAATATAGAAACTCCAGAACTTAGCAAATATGCTCTTCCCCAGGGTGCAATAATTGCAAAGTGTTGGTCTGTCCATTGTGAACAGTATTTTACCATGAAGTTATAATGGTATACCCCTGGTATGATGGTAAAACCCACATTTGCAGAGTTCCTGATAAAGTCTATATTTTAAGGGGAGTTTGACTCATAATGTGACCTTGTGGGGAAGTTTGGATCCATCTCCACATAAAAACTGTGACCTTAACAGTGTAATAAATGGTATGGCTTGCAACCAAATAAGAGAAAATCAGATCTTTGTGTCAACTTGGTATTGATACAAACTTTTATGAAACAAAAAGTTTACCTATTAATTAACTGAATAATCCTATGAGGGGCAGGTACAAGAAAAGTTACCTGGTTTAAATGCTTCAATAAGTGTACTTTTTGTATCTGATTCAGAATTTACATCATTGTCATCTTTCATCTATAGATAACTGACATTTTTTTTTTGCTATTTGTTTTTATTCATTTATTTATATATTATATAAATTTTATTTTAACTTGTAAAGGAAGGTCAGGGTTGTGTTCAGCTAAGAAAAGTAATTTTCATTGAATGCAAAGCGCCAACATAATGACTACAAATTGTTTTCCAAGTCCTGAGTTACTTTTGGGTCTGGTATTACATAGAATCTAGGAATTCTACAGCTTGAGTATTATTGTAATACAATAAACTGGTATATAAACTGTTGAATAATGAAGTGTGCTTGTAATAGTTACTTCCCTTATTCCATTATTTACTAACTTTACACTAATGCAAATCTATAGTTCTTTCAATAGGGTAAGAGCAGAAAATGTGAAAAATGGAATTCAATCATTCTCACTTTAATGATTCATAAGGGCGTTCTTCTCATTCTTTTATATTGGTCTTTATTTTTGTTATAAAAACTTGAAAATGAGATGAGTAAAGGCCAAATGAAATTTTTCAAAAAGAATTTAAAGTTTTAAGCAGTATTTGTTTAGGAATAATTTTGTTTGATATGTTTTGCATGCTTGTTTCAGAGGTAAATATCAAATTGTATTATTCCGAGATGTTAAATCTTGGGAAAGAATGGGCAATGTTTGAATAGCCATTATCATGGCACATAAAACCTGATGTTAATCAAAATGGTGGTTTGATTTTAATTTAAGAAAAACTTAACGATGAGCCGTGTTAACTTAAAAGTTGAATTATTGTGTTTCGAGTGGTTCGGCCATTGATAGGGGATTTCACATTTTGATCTGATAGATTGTCAATATTTGAATTCGAAAATAGCGCAGGTGATACGTTCAATATATTAAATGGAAAACCTGTTCTCTTTATATCTGTGATAATACTAGAAAAAAACTCATAAAATCAAGAAAAGGAATTATGGGTAATCCTTGCATGGAAGGCACTGATAACAATCATACTTTATAAGATGACCTTTAGACTTGAAAAATCTTTTTATCAATGAAACCATTTTTCGTGACAACTTTAATATTATGTAAGAACATTATTTTTTTTTTAGACCAACACTAAGGGGGTACTTTTTTTCCTCCTCTCTCTATATATTGTTTGTTTTAAATGTTTTGCACTATGGCTTCAGTATTTATTTTGAAAAATAGACCCATCTGTTACATGCATATTTGCATGTTTTCAGACCACATGCGTTGGTATGGGTGTATAAATTTCATTGTCACAATTCTTATGTACTTTGACCAACTTATATAAAGTCTTTTTACTATCTTGCTGGAAGAAGAATTAAGGCCCTGCCATGCCAAAAAAAGACGAGCTTTAATTGATTTGTCAGTTGTGTTTTTGAAAGAGCGTTTTTACGTGATCGTTTTTTATTGTTACTGGTGTGAAGAGAAGGACAAAAATTGCCAACAAAACATTATAAACTTCATGATTTATCTTAGCAAAAACTGTTCACCAAAGGAATTCAAGTGTTTATCGATCAACGTGTTTCCGCACTTCAAATAATTCAAGTCAAATTGCGGCCTGTAATCTGCAGGTAGAATTGATCTGTTGCAATAAGAGATATTAAGTGCTAATAATTGGTAATCAATTTATTTTACATAAAGCGCTGTTTCAGCAATTTGTTTCAAATGTAATGATTATATTTTCCAATAGAAGATGATCCTCGTCGATTTATTGGATCAATAATTTATTCATATTGCTATTATATAGATTGCGTAATTCACAATTGCAGAGAAAAAGTTGACATTGACCTCTGACAGGAAACTTAATATTATATTTTTCGATCAAAGGAAATTTGTTGTTTATTTGAAATATTCTATAAAGATAAAAAAATCTGCTATTTATCAAAACTGTTTATAATTTGGCTATTATAGATGTTCCTGTGAATTATTTTGATAAAGTAAATATTGATAATGTAAAGAGGCTTTGTTAGTATTGTTACCAAATAAATAGATAATCCGTTTTCGATTTCATTTTCTCTCTCTTTTGTTTTATAAACATTAAAACAAGAACAAGGGTGTCTAAAAATAACTATTGCCTGTAATAAAAGTAATTGTTTTTTTTAGCACTTATCATTCTTAATATCTTAAATGGACTTGTCCTTCTATGGATCTGGACTAGACCATTTATTGTTTCGGGTAAAATTTTGAAATATGTATTGGCTGAATAGCAAACTGTTTATTATTATGGGAAATAATGAGTAACAGACAAAAATTTTATTTGAACTCCATATTTTAACTCAAAATTTTCATGTTATTGTCAAGGAGTTTCTGAACTCCTTGTGTCTGAACTCATGGAGTCTGTACTCCTAGTGTCTCTTCTCCAAGTGTTTTTACTTTCCCTGTCTGTACTCCAAGTGTATGTACTCCCAGTGTCTGTTCTGCTAGTGTCTGTTCTCCTAGCATCTGTTCACCAGATGTCAGTACACCCAGTGTCTGTTCACCAGATGTCTGTACTCCCAGATGTCTGTATTCACAGATGTCTGTACTCCCAGTGTCTCTACTCCAAGTGTCTGTATTCCCAGTGTCTGTTCTCCCAGTGTCTGTACTCCCAGTGTCTGTACTCCAAGTGTCTGTACTCCAGCGTCTGTACTCCCAGTGTCTGTACTCCCAGTGTCTGTACTCCCAGTGTGTGTACTCCCAGATGTCTGTACTCCAAGTGTCTGTACTTCAAGTGTCTGTACTCCCAGTGTCTGTTCTCCCCAGTGTCTGTATTCTCAGATGTCTGTATTCCCAGTGTCTGAACTCCCAGTGTCTGTACTCCCAGATGTCTGTTCTCCAAGTGTCTGTACTCCCAGTGTCTGTACTCCCAGTGTATGTACTCCCAGTGTCTGTACTCGTCAGTGTCTGTACTCGTAGAGTCTGTACTCCCATTGTCTGTACTCCCAGTGTCTCTACTCCCAGTGTCTGTTATCCCAGTGTATGTACTCCCCGTTGTCTGTACTCCCAGATGTCTGTATTCCCAGATGTCTGTTCTCCCAGTGTCTCTACTCCCAGTGTCTGTACTCCCAGTGTCTGTACTCCCAGTGTCTGAACTCCCAGTGTCTGTACTCCAAGATGTCTGTTCTTCCAGTGTCTCTACCCTCAGTGTCTGTACACCCAGATATCTGTTCTCCCAGTGTCTCTACTCCCAGTGTCTGTTCTCCCAGAGTATGCACTCCCTGTGTGTACTCCCAGTGTCTGTTCTCCCAGATGTCTGTACTCCAAGATGTCTGTTCTCCCAGTATCTTATCTCCCAGTGTCTGTACTCCCAGTGTCTGTTCTCCCAGATGTCTGTTCTCCCAGTGTCTGTAGTCCCAGTGTCTCTACTCCAAGTGTCTGTATTCCCAGTGTCTGTTCTCCCAGTGTCTGTACTCCCCAGTGTCTGTACTCCAAGTGTCTGTACTCCCAGCGTCTGTACTCCCAGTGTCTGTACTCCCAGTGTCTGCACTCCCTGTGTATGTACTCACAGTGTCTGTTCTCCCAGATGTCTGTACTCCAAGATATCTGTTCTCCCTGTGTCTCTACTCCCAGTGTCTGTACTCCCAGTGTATGTACACCCCAATGTCTGTACTCCTAGTGTTTCTTTTCCAAGTGTATGTACTCCCAGATGTTTGTATACTCAGTGTCTGTTCTCCTAGAGTCTGTGCTCCCAGTGTCTGTACTCCCAAGTGTCTGTTCTCCAAGTTTCTGTACTCCCAGTGTCTGTGCTCCCAGTGTCTGTACTCTCAGTGTTTGTACCCCCAGTGTCTGTACTCCCAGTGTCTGTTCTCCTAGAGACTGTACTCCCAGTGTCTGTACTTCCAAGTTTCTGTACTCCCAGTGTCTGTACTCTCAGTATCTGTACTCCCAGTGTCTGTTCTCCCAGTGTTTGTACTCCCAGTGTCTGTTCTCCTAGAGACTGTACTCCCAGTGTCTGTACTTCCAAGTGTCTGTACTCCCAGTGTCTGTACTCTCAGTATCTGTACTCCCAGTGTCTGTTCTCCCAGTGTCTGTACTCCCATTATCTGTACTCCCAGTGTCTGTTCTCCCAGTGTCTGTACTCCCAGTGTCTGTACTCCCAGTGTCTGTTCTCCCAGTGTCTGTACTCCCAGTGTCTGTACTCCCAGTGTCTGTTCTCCCAGTATCTGTACTCCCAGTGTCTGTTCTCCAAGTGTCTGTACTCCCAGTGTCTGTACTCCCAGTGTCTGTACTCTCAGTATCTGTACTCCCAGTGTCTGATCTCCCAAGTTTCTTTGTACTCCCAGTCTCTGTACTCCCAGTGTCTGTACTCCCAGTGTCTGTACTCCCAGTGTGTGTACTCCCAGATGTCTGTACTCCAAGTGTCTGTACTCCCAGTGTCTGTACTCCCAGTGTCTGTACTCTCAGTGTCTGTACTCCCAGTGTCTGTACTCCCAGTATGTGTGCATCCAGTGTCTGTTCTCAAGATATATACACTTCCAATGTATGTACACCTAGTGTTTGTACTCCCAATGTCTGTACTCACCGTGTCTGTTCTCCCAGTGTCTGTACTCCAAGTATTTGTACTCCAGTGTCTGTTCTCAAAGTGTCTGTTCTCCAAGTTTCTGTTTTCCAAGTGTCTGTTCTCCAAATGTTTGTACATCTAATGTTTGTACACCAAAGTCTGTATCCTAGTGTTGTTTCCTAGATGTCTGTACTCCCAAGTGTCTGCTCTGCAAGTGTCTTATTTTTAAAAAGGCAGAAGTTATATCGTTATATAAAATCAAATGACACTTTAAATGACTATAAATATACTCTAATTGACTATCAAATAAAGATTTGGGCTTTGTATGGTATTTGTTAACATTTATTAACCAAAATTTATTACTTAATCTTGTAAAATTATAGTAAAGGGTGATAATTTCCATAACTTTGTTTGTTTAAAACATTTTATGTTCTGAAAACTAAACATTGCTTGTATAACCACAGTTTTTAAAGAGACTATAATAGAAAGCAGATATCCTTTTAAATCGCTACTATTTCGGTGTAGTTTGGATTTTGTTTCAACATTGGCAATTGTATATCATACCATTTAACAGGTTTTTGAATAAACATAATAAATCAGTACTTTTATGCCATTCAAAAAAATTTCTTAAAGTTACCTTGACATTGTCTTAAATGGAAAATGTTACAAGATGGAAAAATTCCATAAATTGTTTTATTATTCAGTGAGTTAAGACAGTTTTCCAATGACCTTGTTAGTTATGGTTATTACACAAGCTGTTGTATGAGTGAGCAAAGGGTTCAATGACCTAGGTTTTTCTCCTTACTAATAAATAAAACCTAGTCACAAGTCAATAATTTTGTACTTTCATTTATCTGTTTATATGTTGTAATATTATGGTCCGACTATTTTAACATACAGCAGCTAAGTGTTTGTAATTTTTATTAGACAGTATTTAATTAATGGCACATATTTATAGACATAAGATAAATTTCTCTTCTTTTTTTTTTTTTAAATCTGTATATTGTAAATTATTTCTCCTATATGTTTTATGTATAATTATATAAAGTCAAATTTTGTCTGCTTTTGGTCTAAAGATGTTTTACAAATATTTTAGGTTAGTTGAAGATGATAATTCATCTGAAAAATTATGCCTTCAGAGAGATTCAAACTAGAAAAAAGCAAAAGCTTGTACTACCAACTATCAGAATGCTCTAAGACAACTGAGTGAAATATTTTTTTCCATGAAGTTGTATTGATAGTATTCAAGATATATGAGCCCTGTCATGACAAAACCAACATGATGGGTTTGCAACCAGACAAAAATTTTATTTGAACTCCTTTTTTAAACTCAAATTTTTATGTAATTGTCAAGGAGTTTCTGAACACCTTGTGTCTGAACTCATGGAGACTGTACTCCTAGTGTCTCTTCTCCAAGTGTTTTTACTTTCCCTGTCTGTACTCCAAGTGTATGTACTCCCAGTGTCTGTTCTGCTAGTGTCTGTTCTCCCAGCGTCTGTTCACCAGATGTCAGTACACCCAGTGTCTGTACTCCCAGTGTCTGTTCTCCCAGTGTCTGTTTACAAGATGTCTGTACTCCCAGATGTCTGTATTCTCAGATGTCTGAACTCCCAGTGTCTGTACTCCCCAATGTCTGTACTCCCCAATGTCTGTACTCCCAGTGTCTGTACTCCCAGTGTCTGTACTCCCAGTTTCTGTACTCCCCAGTGTCTGTATTATCAGATGTTTGTACTCCCAGTGTCTGTTCCCTCAGTGTCTGTACTCCCAGTGTTTGTACTCCAAGATGTCTGTTCTCCCAGTGTCTGTACTTCAAGTGTCTGTACTCCCAGTGTATGTACTCCCCAGTGTTTGTACTCCCAGTGTCTGTACTCACCCGTGTCTGTATTCGTAGTGTCTGTACTCCAAGATGTCTGTGATCCCAGTGTCTGTACTCCCAGTTTCTCTACTCCCAGTGTCTGTAATGATCCCAGTGTATGTACTCCCCAATGTCTGTACTCCAAGATGTCTGTATTCCCGGATGTCTGTTCTCCCAGTGTCTGTACTCCCAGTGTCTGTACTCCCAGTGTCTGTACTCCCAGATGTCTGTTCTCCAGTGTCTGTACTCTTAGTGTCTGTACTCCAGGATATCTGTTCTCCCAGTGTCAGTACTCCCAGTGTTTCTACTCCTAGATGTCTGTTCTCCCAGTGTCTGTACTCCCTGTGTCTGTACTCCCAGTGTCTGTACTCCCAGTGTCTGTACTCCCAGATGTCTGTTCTCCCAGAGTCTGTTCTCCCAGTGTCTGTACTCCCAACTTGTATGTACTCCCCAATGTCTGTACTCCCTTATGTCTGTACCCCCAGATGTCTCTACTTCCAGTTTCTGTTCTCCCAGTGTCTGTACTCACAGTGTATGCACTACCTGTGTCTGTACTCCAAGTGTCTGTTCTCCCAGATGTCTGTACTCCAAGATGTCTGTTCTCCCAGTGCCTCTACTCCCAGTGTCTGTACTCCCAGTGTATGTACACCCCATGGTCTGTACTCCTAGTGTCTCTTTTCCAAGTGTTTGTACTCCCAGATGTCTGTATTCCCAGATGTTTGTTCTCCTAGTGTCTGTACTCCCAGTGTCTGTACTCCCAGTGTATGCACTCCCCGTGTCTGTACTCCAATTGTCTGTTCTCCAAGATGTCTGTACTCCCAGATGTCTGTACTCCCAGATGTCTGTTCTCCAAGTGTCTGTACTCCCAGTGTCTGTACTCCCAGTGTATGCACTCCCTGTGTCTGTACTCCCAGTGTTTGTTCTCCCAAATGTCTGTACTCCCAGATGTCTGTTCTCCTAGTGCCTCAACCCCAGTGTATGTACTCCCAGTGTATGTACACCCCAATGTCTGTACTCCTAGTGTCTCTTTTCCAAGTGTATGTACTCCCAGATGTCTGTTCTCCCAAGTGTCTGTACTCCCATGTGTCTGTACTCCCAGTGTCTGTACTCCCAGTGTGTGTACTCCCAGTGTGTGTACTCCCAGTGTCTGTACTCCCATGTGTATGTACTCCCAGATGTCTGTTCTCCCAAGTGTCTGTACTCCCATGTGTCTGTACTCCCAGAGTCTGTACTCCCAGTGTCTGTACTCCCAGATGTCTGTACTCCCAGTGTCTGTACTCCCAGTGTCTGTACTCCCAGTGTCTGTACTCCCAGATGTCTGTACTCCCAGTATCTGTACTCCCAGTGTCTGTACTCCCAGTGTCTGTACTCTCAGTGTCTGTACTCCAAGTGTCTGTACTCCCAGTATGTGTGCATCCAGTGTCTGTTCTCAAGATATATACACTTCCAATGTGTGAACACCTAGTGTTTGTACTCCCAATGTCTGTACTCACCGTGTCTGTTCTCCCATTGTCTCATCTCAAAGTATTTGTACTCCAGTGTCTGTTCTCAAAGTTTTTGTACTCAAGTGTCTGTTCTCCAAGTGTCTGTTCTCCAAGTGTCTGTTCTCCAAGTGTTTGTACATATAGTGTTTGTAGACCAAAGTCTGTACTCCTAGTGTTGTTTCCTAGATGTCTGTACTCCCAAGTGTCTGCTCTGCAAGTGTCTAAAAGGCAGAAGTAATATATCATTATATAAAATCAAATGACACTTTAAATGACTATAAATATACTCTAGTTGACTATCAAATAAAGATTTGGGCTTGTATGGTATTTGTTAACATTTATTGACCAAAATTTATTACTTAATCTTGTAAAATTATAGTAAAGGGTGATAATTTCCATAACTTTGTTTGTTTTCAACATTTTATGTTCTGAAAACTAAACATTGCTTGTATAACCACAGTTTTTAAAGAGACTATAATAGAAAGCAGATATCCCTTTAAATCGCTACTATTAAGGTGTAGTTTGGATTTTGTTTCAACAATTGCAATTGTATATCATACCATTTTACAGGTTTTTGAATAAACATAATAAATCAGTACTTTTATGCCATTCATAAAAAATTCTTAAAGTTACCTTGACATTGTCTTAAATGGAAAATGTTACAAGATGGAAAAATGCCATAAATTGTTTTATTATTCAGTGAGTTAAGACAGTTTTCCAATGACCTTGTTAGTTATGGTTATTACACAAGCTGTTGTATGAGCAAAGGGTTCAATGACCTAGGTTTTTCTCCTTATTAATAAATAAAACCTAGTCACAGGTCAATAATTTTGTACTTTCATTCATATGTTGTAATATTATGGTCCGACTATTTTAACATACAGCAGCTAAGTGTTTGTAATTTTTATTAGACAGTATTTAATTAATGGCACATATTAATTTTATAGACATAAGATAAATTTCTCACCTTCTTTTTTTTTAAATCTGTATATTGTAATATTTCTCCTATATGTTTTATGTATAATTATATGAATGTCAATTTTCGTCTGCTTTTTGTCTAAAAATTTAGGTAAGTAAGATGATGATTCATCTGAAAAATTATGCCCTCGGAGAGATTCAAACTAGAAACTAAAAGCTTAGAAAAGCAAAAGCTTATACTACCTAAGTATCACAATGCTCTAAGACAACTGAGCGAAATAATTTTTTCCATGAAGTTGTATTGATAGTATTCAAGAGATATATGAGCCGTGTCATGACAATACCAACATAATGGGTTTGCGACCAGCATGGATCCAGACCAGCCTGCGCATCTGTGCAGTCTGATCAGGATCCATGCTGTTCGCTATCAGTTTCTCTACTTGTTATAGGGTTTGTAAGCGAACAGCATGGATTCTGATCAGACTGCATGGATGCGCAAGCTGGTCTGGATCCATGCTGGTAGCAAACGTATTAATTTGGTTTTGTCGTGACGCGGCTCATATACAGTTTTGCACTCATCCATGTGGTTCAGAGATGTTGATTACTTTAGGAGCTGAGGTCTTTGGCTGCAAGGTGGTTTAAGACAAAGACTTTCAGCTACTTGCCTTTAATTTTTGTGGGTTTAACTCCTAACAGGGGCAAAGTCAATAAGGAAACTTATCCAGCTGGCATTCAATCCAGGGTGGCTACAATTGTCATGCAGTGGCATGAGGAACATTAGAATAAGTTTGAATATATGAGCTGTGTCACGAGAAAACCAACATAATGGGTTTGCAACCAGCATGGATCCAAAACCTGCGCATCCGCGCAGTCTGATCAGGATCCATGCTGTTTCTCTACTTGTTATAGGGTTTGTAAGCTAACAGCATGGATCCTGATCAGACTGTGGGGATGCGCAGGCTGGACTGGATCCATGCTGGTCGCAAACCCATTATGAAGGTTTTGTCGTGACGCAGCTCATATATTTATATATTATATATTTACAGTCTTTAACATTTACATAGGAAAATATATGATTAGAAATAATTCTAAACAGTTTTATATAAAAAAAATCCTTTTTTAAAAATCCTAAAATTACTGGTTTTATGATTTTATGCAAATTTAGAAAACATGGTTTATAATAGAACAGTGATGTTTTTTTGAATGGAGCAATTTAGGAAACAATTACATGTACATGGTATGGTGATGACATTTGTTAACCTCAGTGTCAGCATAAATCACAACTGCCATGTTAGGTTTTTGATATGCTAAGACATCTATTGTTTAATACCTGTTAATTTGCTTTTCTTCTCTTTTTATACCCCCAAAAACGAAGTTTAGGGGGGGTATATAGGAGTCACCCGGTGGTCGGTTGGTCGGTCGGTCGGTCGGTCGGTCGGTCCAGACGTCTGTTGCATTTTCCTTGTCCGGACCATAACTTGAAGACTAATGGTTGGAATTCAATATAACTACATACAATGGTCAAGCACATTGAGAGGAAGTGCAGTGCACAAGAACCATAACTCTATCTTGACTAATTACAGAGTTATTGCCCTTTGTTACTTTTCCTTGTCCGGGGCATAACTTGAACACTACTGGTTGGAATTCAAAACAACTTCATACAATTGTCAAACACAGTAAGGGGAAGTGCAGTGCACAAGAACCATAACTCTATCTAAAGTAATTACAGAGTTATTGCCCTTTGTTACTTTTCCATTGCTTTCTTTTGTCCGGAGTATAACTTGAAGACTAATTGTTGGAATTCATTATAACTTCATACAATGGTCAAGCACATTGAGAGGAAGTGCAGTGCACAAGAACCATAACTCCATCTTGACTAATTACAGAGTTACTGCCCTTTGTTACTTTTCCATTGCTTTTTTTTGTCCGGAGCATAACTTGAAGACTAATGGTTGGAATTCAATATAACTTCATACAATGGTCAAGCACATTGAGAGGAAGTGCAGTGCACAAGAACCATACCTCCATCTTGACAAATTACAGAGTTATTGCCCTTTGTTACTTTTCCTTATCCAGAGCATAACTTGAAAACTACTGTTTGGAATTCAATACAACTTCATACAGTTGTCAAGGACATTAAAAGGAAGTGCAGTGCATAAGAGCCATAACTCCATTTTGACAAAATACAGAGTTACTGCCCTTTGATACTTTTCCTTGTCTGGAGCATAACTTAAAACATACTGGTTGAAATTCAAAACAACTTCATACAATGGTCAAGCACAAAAAGAGAAAGTGCAAGGCACAAGAACTATAACTCCATCTTCAGTATTTATAGAGTTATTGCCCTTTGTTCCTTTTCTTTGTCTTTCTGGACTTATTACAGAGTAGTTCAATAAAACTTCATCAATGGCCAACCACATTGAAAGGAAATGCAATATACAAGAACCACAACTATCTTTAATTGCCCACAACCATCACTCTATATTTCAATTCTTTTACAAGATATTCTGTTACTAGTAACATCCTCATTTCCGAAGCAGTCTTGTGGGGGTATTAATCACATTTAGTGATAGTTCTAGTTGAATTTAAAACAAAATATGGGGAAAACATTATGCTGTAAATATTTTTTATAAATTATTTTAAGGCGTTTAATGTTGTCAGCAAATGTAACAATACTCTTTACAGTATAATGGAATTTTCCTGCTTTGATTTCGGAGCTGTCCAGATCTCAGTATTGAATTAATTTTGATGCTGAAGGGTTGATTGTTGATCTATGTATGTATTTCAGACTTAATATGGGTCCATCCATCCTTTCAGGCACTGACAGTACGGACCCTTTACATGTCACCATTCATGTCCTTAAATGTTATTATCTACCAAAAAAAAAGGGATCTATAAATTTTAGAATTCAGTGATGGTACTGAATGATACTAAATATATTTGCAAGTCGATTTTTTTAATGCTGCCATTTTGTAAATCAAAGCTTGTCCAGCCCAATAACATGACTACAGTTTGATTAGGTTTGTCTTAGTAGATAAATTTCATTGGTTATGATGTCAAAGGTCAAGGTTACAGTGAGCAATAACCAGGCTTATTAGAGAGGCTGGTCATGACTAGAAAAATGATTAATTTTGGGAAGTGAGGTCAAAAGTCAAGGTGACACTTTTAAACAAGTTTTGATATTATTGCCCTTCATTATTTCTCTGCTGCCAGATCGAGAATATTTAGAAATAATAGGAAGTATTATTTTAA